GCTGTCTACGCCTGCGCGCGCCCGCCCTGTGCGCATAATGAAAGATCGCGGTTCTTGTCTATTTGGTGTGAATAATCACGCACTCAGGGCCTTCTGATAGATAGGATTTGTATGATAAACATGCACTATGGCTTTTCTTAAACACACGATAGAACAAATTGTTCCCCTTTCTATTCACTCATCAATTCTGGACTCATAAAAACAATGGGGGGAGACCCCTATTTGTAGATCCTAACTATATCTAATCCTAATCTACCTAGGGAACTAATTAAGCAATAAAATATTAAATAACCTAAACATATTAGATATTCTAAAGCAATAAGGAAAGTAAATATACTAGGGATCTTGTGCCTTGACTTGCACTCCAAGTTGGGAAAAATAATCTAGAGAAGATTCAGCTCAAAAATCCTTCTAGAAGTCCATTTTTCTTGCTGCCCAAATCAGCCCCGCGCGCTACCCCTGGCAGGCCTGCTGCCTGGGCCCGCGCGTGCTGCAAGCGCACTGCGCCCGTGCACGCCTACTCCTGCGCGCGTGATACGGAAGTGGAGACCAGCACCGGCAAGTCTAGCGAAGGGCTAAAATGCGAAAGGTGCGCATCGGCCCTTGATGCGCACGAATGGGCGAACAAGCTGCGCACGCGGGCTTTGCGAGGAGTACGCGAGAACGCGAGCTGCAAGTGTACAGGCGATGACCGCGACCTGATAGGAGTAGGGGTGCTGGGTGCGATGCACGAAGTGCTGGAGAGGAGCAGAGAAAGAGCGGGCGCGCGGCGAGTGCGCGACACCCGCGCAAGTGACAAACACGCGAAGGAAGGAGGCAGCGAGCACGCGACACAAGCAAAGATGCGCGCGTGTGGTACGGGCGCGCGAGACCCAATCCCCGCGGGACTAGGCATTGCAAAAGGGCGGCGCGCACGCGCAGGCGGGACGCGGCAGGAGCGAAGTGCGCGCGTGCAGGGACAGCGCGCGGGACGCCGAGTTCGACTAGGAGTAGGAGCCGAGGACGCGCGCACTAAGGCAGCCGAGAGTCCTGGGCGTGCGATTGACTTGGACTTCTAGTAAATTGGAGTGCAAGTCAAGCAATTAGAATTATAGTAATATTAGGATTTTATTGCTTTCTAGTATTAGGATTTAAATTATTGCAAGATTTAGGAGATCTAGATCTATTAGGCTTAGATTTAATTTATGCATATATAAATACCCATGTACCTCTTCATAATTAGATGTCCAGAAAATTGATGAGTGAATAGAAAAGGGGGAACTTGGTGTTCTTACGTGTGTTTAAACAAGGCCGTTAGTGCGTTTTTACATACAGTGTCGGAGAGAAGGCCATTAGTGCATCTTGAAGTCACGGTGTCTAAGAGAAGGCCTTAGTACGTCTGTTAGTCACATCTATCGTGTGTAGTCGAAGGCCCTGGGTCCGCGATTACTCACACCAAATAGACAACAACCGCGATCAACACTCATGTTCGCTCATCATTGGTGCTTTCGTTGAGATGGTTTTGTTGAAGAGTGACGATCAAGGTTATTGTTTATCTATCTTTTTTTATTTTTTTCGGTTTTACCTTTTGTTGAGGGGGACCGATTTTCTTTTTTTTTTTCGAATTTCGATTCGAATTTCTTACTTCTTTTTCTCTTATTTTTTTCGAAAATTTTAGAGTTGAGTAAAAAAAAAGGTGTCATCTTGTTAGTCCTTTTTTATATTTTTCCCTAGAGTCTTAAAGAAAAAAAAAAGAGATCCATGATGTCAAACCGTGAAACAATCCAAGCGTTGGAAGAAAATTTGAAGATCATTGGTGATGGTCAACATGCCACCAACGAGAACTTGGGGAGAATTGAGTTGATGGTCCATGACTTGGTCGGGCAACTTACACGTATGAACACGCGGCCATGGAGGGGACACGGAACACGGTCCATAGCTTCAACCACCGGGACCGAACACGAGGACGATCGCCAGTCAAGGTGCACACGCGCATCGCGCGCGGATCACCACCATGACGATCGACGACGGTATGAAGGTCGCGCACACCACAATTGAAGGCGCGAAGAGGACGACGATCAGCGGTCGTACGCATCGCACGCGTCGTGGGCCACACGCGACGAACGACGGGCACACCGCGACGACCGTAGGTGCTATGGAGACGAAGGTCGGCGACGACACGAGAAACGACCGTATCATGACCATGACGAACACTATGAGGAACGGGCTTATACACGGCCGAAGATAACTATGCCCACATTCACGAGAGTAAATCCGAATGCATGGTTAAGTCGAGCTGTGCAATTCTTTGAGATCAACGATGTGCCAAGGTACGAAAGAGTTCAAATAGCTGCTTATTAACTCGATGGAGAAGCAAACGTATTGTGGCAATGGATCTTTCATAAAAATCAGGGCGAGCACATACGTTGGAGAGACTTTGAGAGGGAACTCATCACGAGGTTTGGCTCTAGTGATTACTTTGTTTATGATGAAGCTTTGTCGCTAATTAAACAATATGGTAGTTTGCGGGAGTATCAGAAGGAGTTTGAGCGCATTGCTAGTAGCGTGCGAGACTGGCCCGAGAGTGCACTAGTAGGAGCATTTGTGGGAGCGCTGAAAGCTGAGTTGGCGGCATAGGTGAGGTTAGATAGGCCGAGATCGATGCGAGCAGCCATGGAGTCAGCTAGGTTGCACGAGGATCATCTCGCAACAGTCCGTAAGGCGAGGATGAGCGACGTGCGTATGGAGCCGAAACGCACGCACGCCGCAACCGAGGATCAAGTGCCGAGGATCGAGAGCAATATGATGGGCAATATGGTACGAACAACGAGCAATGTACGACGGCTAACGGACGACGAGATGCAACAGAGAAGGGAAAAAGGCCTATGTTACACTGCAACGAGAAGTTCACGCCAGGCCACAAGTGCAAGGGCAAAGAAGTGTTTTTGTTAGAATTTGAGAAGAGTATGTTGGTGAGGAGGAAAAGCCACGGAAGGAGTCTTTGTTGCATATGGTTAAGAGCAAAAAGCGTGGTCCGAAGATTATCACATTCACGGCTGAAATAAGAGGTAAATTGGTGGAGGTATTGGTTGACAGCGGATCTATGCTGAACTTCATTGACGAGGAGCTGTCCAAAGAAATCGAGATTCCATTCGCAAAGGTTAACCCTTTTTGGAGTCAAAGTAGCAAACGGAGAAACACTTCGAGGGGATATTCTCTTCAAAGGTGTAAAGATGGAAGGTGAAGGTCAAAAGATGAAAGTGGATCTATATGCCTTGCCATTGAGAGCGACTAATATAGTACTT